AAGATACCAGGAGAGACTAAATTCAACTTTTCTGCACTTCTAGAGACTCCAAGTACACAACAAAATGCATTCAAAGGTTGTACATATTTCCAGAAACAGATTGGAATCAAAGTAGCCAGATTATTCCACTTAAATGCTCAGCGGCAGATTGGTGTCGTTTAAACAGCCTTTCWGCACATTTAGTTGTAATGCTGATCTGAGATTTAACACTCAGCATTCATGCCTCAGTTTATTAAACTGAATGACATCAAAGCAGTAAAAGGCTTCTTGCTTTCAGAGGCTGCAGAGTGAGAGTCAGGCAACAAAACAAGGTCCATCTGTGTTTCTGTGCAGAGCCGTTTGGACTCATCAGCACAGATACCAAAGCAGACGGCCCTGTTGCATCATTACAGGCTATTTTAGTGTCTGATCGTTCGTGGTTCCCAACAGACATTCTGTAATTCTGTCATTCTGTCTGCTTTTGAAGCTACATTACATTACAGAGAAGTATTTTTAGATTCTCTATAGCCGTTCTGTAGGTGTTTTAATTTTGTAATAACAAGAATGAAGAAATGTCCTCCACCTTTCATGACAGAGTTTTAAACTTTTATTTTTTTCATCATCGGAAGCAACAGATGTAGCTATTTTAGATGAATCTTATAAATGACATTAAATTAACACTTTGAGGCTAATTTTTGATGCATTGTGCTTGTAAAAAGATAGTCAAACCTGATAATGCTGATTTATTAACGAAGCAACTGTGTCAGATAAGAAAAATAGCTGCAATCTGTTTGCCTTCATAAATATACAGAATTTATGATCATTTTAAAATGCATAAATATATTTGGAAGGGAATATGCTGATATACTGTAATTAGATGTTAAAGTATCAAAATTTAAGATGAAAAATTAATCTAATAAAATACCTTTTTTTTGGTCAAAGCTAGACGAGTCATGCGGCCTCAGAGGGTTGCTGACCTCTGTTCTACAGAAAAACTACCTGCATCCTGCAGTTTCTTGCTGCCTCCAGTGTCACACGCCTGAGCACACACTAAACCCTCATTTCAGTAGGGTGGTCTGTACCACCTTTCATAGATGTCAAGTTGTACAGGCTGTGTAATTTACAGGGATTTTCCCTCATTTTGCAGGTATACGGACGCATGGAGCAGTCTCTCAGATTGTTTTTCAAGTCTTGCAGATTTTTTACAGATCTGTCTCAGAAACTCAGTTTCACATCTTTTTAACATGTCAAAGCCTGTAGGATGAAAAAAAACAATAAATAATCTCAAGAACAATCTACCAACCTGCTCTACCTTTATAAATAAAATCTACTGTCTCCTCTTTGTGATAAATACAGAGTTTTGCAAAAATTATGGACTTTTGATGTTCATTATACAGGTAAACATCCGTAGGGATTGACATAGATGACCTTTGCACCTGCTATCCTTTGTGGACGTAATTTTAGTAAATCAAACTCAACACACACAGCTACAAACACATAAAATGTTAGCTCAGTGTCTGTAGAATTTACTGTGTTATATTTGAATTTACTTAGGCTTGGCTGTGAGAGCACCTTTAACTGGGTTGACTTAAAAACACACTGATTATCTTCTGAAAGTTTCAATAAAATCCATCTACTAGTTCATGAGATTTGCTAACATACATGACAAATATGTACATGCCTGTGTGTCTGTTTTTTGTTGGACAGTGAAAAGTTTTTTGCTCTCAAATCAGGCGCTTTAAAATGACTAATGCAAAGCTGCTTCTGAATAATAAAATGTGCTGCCCTTCATTATGCTTCTGCCTCTCTCCGTGGTGCTRCCACACACCCCTTCATGTCATGCTGTCACACACTATTTTTCATGTGACAGCTGTTCCTTAGATTGGAACAGAAAAAGTGGTTGCAGTCGGCTGCTAAATGGCTTGTTTGTGACATGAAGGGCAAAAAAGGAAAAAAAAAGGTTTTCTTAACTTTCTATTTTCCTTTTTAATCAGCATTCACACAATGCTTTTCAGGTTTTAATTTTAATGTACACTTTTATGCTGTTAAGTTAGAATTATTTTCTCTATAGAAATACAGTGAAATTCATTCAGTTCCCTAAAAATGTCATTTTTAAACTCTGCCTCAGCATACAGGCTCTGTTTTTGTCATTTTATTCTTCTTTCTTTAAAAATTTACCATTCAGCAACTTTTAGCTTTGGCTAATTTTATTTAGTGTCCCAGAAAGTGTAAAAATATTTGTCTGCTTTTAGCTACTTTCAGTTTTTAGACAATTTTTTTACATTTAGCCACTGTTTTGCTACTTTTAACCAGTGTTTTAGCCAGTATTATAGTTTTAACAACTCAGTCTCAGCCTTTAATGCCAGCAAAGTCACCTTGCATTTCTACAAAGTATTTTTCTCTAGCTGTGTGAGTGATTTTTTTTAGTACAGTGAAGATCCAGAGGGAATGAGTGAAGTGTTTGAGCTGATTTGCAAAACAAGCCGGTTGTCCTGGATGTTATTGTGGAGCTAAGAAGACGAGTGTTTCCAGCTCAGAGAGGCTCTGTGTGGCGTTCAGGGGACGGGCAGCACTCTCACTGTAAATCCCGCCTGCACAGGAACAACCTAATGAGCCCACATCACAATGCAAAGATGGTCCATGTGATGCAGGGGTCTCCTGTAAAGAGTGCTGCAGTGTTACACTTTAATGACTGCCTTGAGGCTGTCAGGTCACTGCTGCTGCATGGGGTCAGTAGGAGGAAGGAAAGAAGTATCCAACAAGTTACATACAAACTGTCAATAATTTCAACAAACAAACTAAACTTTTACACAGATTAACCTACAGGTTTTGACAGTTTTTATCACCCAAACACAAATGCAGACATAAAGTTTTTTCCTGTGTTTGTTTGTCTGCATCATGAGCAAAAACAGTGTGTTTTCCATAATGACTGAACAGATTTTTATTGAAACTTTCACAACCAATTGACCTTAGAAAACACAGAGATGGCTTTAATTTAGTCATCTTTCCCAAGATTGAGTACAAATTTGGTCTGGAAGTAGCTGCCAGTTATGCTCAACACATATTTCAAGCTCTACCAAATTATGTAATGTCCAGGATTATGT